CCCCCCCCCCCCCCCCCCCTTGAATCTCTGTATCTCTTCCTCAATTCCAGTCCCAAGTCTAAGCTTTATGTTGAACATTTCCATGATGTTTTGGAATACTGGTTTCACTCTTTCGCACTCCAAGAAAAGGTGATCTTGGGTTTCAGTTGCGTTGCCACACAATTCACACTCTGCACTTATATCCAGGAATCTAGCCATCCTTTCTTTCGTTTGTATCTTTCCTTTCCAGAACAGCCATCCTATAAACCTAAATTTAGGAGGAGTCAAACTATTCCATACCCAATGCCTCCATTCAGGCTTCGTCTTATTCCCTTGTAGCCATTTATACCCTGCCTTAGTGGTATATAGTTGCTTGAAATTAGGATTGTTGGTTAATTTTTTATTAGTATTAGTTGTTAGAGTGCTTCTATGGTGCACCTTGGGTGCATATTATTTTTTTGGATCTTCTCACATAAAAATTCTATTTTACTTTTATTTTTTAAATGACCATCTAGGTAGTAAGGAATTGCTTATTTGATTCATATGTAAGTCAATAGTGGACCTTAGGCCCACCATAGAGTTTGCCTAGTATGTTCATGAAACATTATTTAGTAAATTTAGTTGCTTCTTGATAAGTCGGGTTTGAGTTAATACTTTTTATTCTTTTTTAGGCATTTTTAATACTTTTAAATTTTAGTTTTTAGTCTTTTAGCTTAGTTTTATATTAATTCTTATTTTTTCAATCTTTTTATTTTCTTTCAAAAATTGTAGTTTTTAATCATTTTTTTTACATCATATTATTTTTAGTTTATTTTTTCTAACCCAAGTTATCAGATATCTTATTTTTTGAAGAAAAGTGTAGCAAAAGACCAAAACGGAGTTCAAGTTTGAAAAGAAAAGATTGAATTTGGTTTGAAGCCCAAACCCAATATGGTAGAAAACTAGCCCAGCCTCCTCTCTTCATTCCAATTCAACGCAAACGGAAAACGAAGTCTTCGTTTCTCCTTCAATGAGTGAAATCAATGAGCAGCGAAGACCAAATCCAAGACGCTCCAACGTCTCTCCCTGAAATTCGCTTCTCATTTATACTCCAACGGGAAAAAAAATCTTTTGGCTATAAATTGCGCCATCGCTAAACAAGGAAGAAGGGGGGAACAATGACGAAAGAGCTGCAGCTCAAGCCGCTGCTATGGCGGACGGCTGGCAGACGCAAACCGGCGGCGGCATCAGTTCCGGTGAGCGGTCGGCAGTAGCTCCGGGCAGAGGTTAGGCTGTTCCATCACAGCTCCAATTCTTCAATTTCTTCATCTTCTTCAATAAATTGGTAACCCAATAATTGACAATTTCTTTTTTCTTCTCCAATTTCTTTGTAAAAGTTTGTTTTTGATTCAATTTATATTCTTTTCCCTTGTTGTTTTAATTTCCAAATATTCTAAAAAAATGGTTGGTGTTCTTCTTTTTGGGTTTTTTTAATGTCTATATTAAATCCCTTATGAATAGAATTGATTCATACTAGTTTTTCTTCAATTATTGAGCAAGTTGTTGTTGAATTGGTTGAATTGTATAATTTGATTTCATAAGTAGGTTGGTATGTGGAATTCGGTTTTTGTTGAAGCTATTTTAGCTCCATAAGGTAGTTAAATGAACTCCGAATTCATACGTGAATCTTTTTTGTGATTTGTGTTTGTTGATTTTAAGAATTTTGGACTTCTTAGCCCCATAAGTTGATTCATTATTCTTAGAATTCGTTATTAAGTGATTGTGTATGTTTTCTCGTATGTTTGTTCGTTATTTTCATAAAATTAAGGTTGTTTAAGCTCAAAAACAATTCTTGATTTAGTGAAAATATGTTGTGTTCATTTATGTGAATAGAAAAAGCGTCATTGGTTTGAGAAGTTCATGGAAATCTGTGAAATGTGCTCATCATTAGGAGAAAAAATTTATTAAAATGCATAAGGTATTGGCCGTTTGTGAATAGATTATATATGAGAGTTGAATGCATAATAGATTCTCTCTTTTATAAACTTTTTCTATAGTGGAAGTATGTTTTCATGCTTGAAGAGAGAGTTGGGGTTCTAAGTTATATTTCAAAACGGGCCTTTGAATTGCATGACTCCGGGCCGTGTGGAGAGTTGACAATCCTCCATATAGTGGTTAAGGAAATGAATCGACTCGGACTTTGATTGATTTTTTCTATTCTTAAGTGCGTAAGTTACGTAATATATTGTCTACGTGCCTATTCTTCGTGTAATGTTCGGCTTGTGTTTGTTCTCTTTTTTTATTTTGTTTTTGGGTTCTTGGTGGTGTTTCTTGGGTTACCTTTGTTGGAGAAGTTGATTATCTTTTGAGCTTGTTTTCCCCCATTTTATCAAAAAAACCAAAAAAATAAGAAAAATAAAAAACTAAAAAAATATTTACTTTTTATTCAACCCCCCCTTTGTGTTATATAAGTATAAGTTTTATTTAATAAGTGTATATTATAAGTGTTTGTTTATAAGTTATAAATATAAGTTTTTATACTTTTTTTATTATATCTTAAATATGTGTTTAGTATTTTAAGTTATATTATAAATTCTTTGTTTATAAAAGTTGTATGTATAAGTTTTATATTTATTTAGTTAAAAGTTTTATAAGTGTTATCATATGTGTAGTAATTAGTTTGTTTTATTTGTTAGAGAAGCCGTGCAACTCTAGAGGGGGGGTGAATAGAGTTGTTGAGAATGTTTACCGATTTTCACAGGATTAATAATATAAACGTAAGTGCAGCGGAAATAAAATAGAGAAAGGAAAGAACACACCGATGTATACTGGTCCACCACCTCGTGGCTAGTCCAGTTCCCCAAGAGACTCTCTCGAAGCTACCACTACTTTCGTTAAGCTTACGGGTGCTTAACAAACCGTTTACAACTCGAGAACTTGAATCCCACAAGCCTCGACACAACCGCTTGTAGATATGCCCTCTACAAGACTTCACAACCAAGACTTAAGTCACATAAGTCTTGAACAACAAGAAGAAGAATCTTCTTCAACCTCTCAACAATAGCTCTCAAAAGAGTAGATAAGAGAAATGATTAAAGCTCTAATGGATGACAAAAAACCTCTCTTAAAAACAAATATTTTCTCTCAAAATAATATAAATTTGAGGAAGGATTGATGGAGGACACCTCAAGAATGGGGAGTATTTGTAACACCCCAACCCGCGTAACCCGAACCAGCGGGTTAGCGAATCGGGTTGTTACTAAGTTGGTATTCGCATGCATAATTTTGTTAATTAAAACATCAGATAAATTATAAAAATTCATTCAAAGAGAGAGTAAACGAAACCATAGTTCATTGGAGTGATTAAATAAATCCAAATGTCGCGGAAGCATAAGAAAACCAAAGTAATGACCAACAGTCCATATAATCAAATAAAATAATGTACTTTAATTATTAAAGTAAACAAGAGCCATCCACGCCACACCACCACTTCACTGCCCTCCGGGTTGCCCATCCAAATCTGTGTTCCTACCTGCGTGCAGTCAAACAACAACGACTACACGCTCAGCGAAACGCTGAGTGAAAATATACCTAAGCCAACATCAATTCACAGAATAGTACCACATTAACATACAATCAACAACAGCATGTGATCACGGAGAAAAATAGCTTAAATAAACATATTTATGTTAACACCTTCCATTTGAACATCATGTCCTAATTTTATTCCACATCAACTATTTTGAGTCATGGCACCCCAAGCGATGCTATAAAAGGGCCAGC